ATTTTGACTCCAAATGACACAAAACTCGAACCAACGCCTGATAAACTTAACTTGAGCTAAAATTGAGACTTGTAACACCTTAAAGCTAGGAAAACCACCACAAGTCAATCCCAACACGCATCAAATGCGTTTGTAAATACGGACTTATCAATAGCCATAAAAAATATTTTTTTAGAAAAGATCATTTTTTTGTTTCAATAGCAGGGGTTGATTTTTAATGTAACTCGTGTTATGAAAAATGTAACTCACGTTGATGAAAATGTAACTTAGGTGTACACAGAATGTAACTAGTTGTAAAATTGAACAATGATTTTTTGGTTTGAGAATAATATGTGTGTATTATACACATTGATTTCAATGTAAATAATGAAAAATTGATCCTAATAGCCCAATTACTTTTTTTAAATAGTGAATATGTTTATTTTTAATATTAGGTATATAAAAATGATATAGCATGGTTTATTCCGTAGTGTAAATCGCATACATTTAGATGTAAATGGCATATATTAAGATGTAACTTGCGTACATTAAAATGTAACTTCATATACTATTAAATGTAATTCCAGAAATTGTCTATAAACATAACTCAGATATATGAAAAATGTAATATAATTTCATGTTTAATGAAATTTTAATCAAAATAAACAAATTTTATGTCTTTAAACACTAAAAGCATATCAAAGAGATAAGAAATATTTTCTTTTTCAAAGAGATAAGAAATATATTATAGAAAGAAATATGAATATGAAATCTAAAAAATATTACAAAATATATATTCTATTGTAATATCAGTTGGGCCCTTATCAGTTGAAGCTAAAAAAAAAGTAAAAAAAAATGTATGATTATGAAATACAATATACTTATTTTATGTAGATTAATAAAATTTTGCAATAATTTGGTAGAGAAAAAAAAGTAGATTCAATTGTACTTTAATTAGTTAAAGATAAATATAAGTAAAACTACAAATAAAGTTTTAATATTTTGATGTAGAAGAAAAAAGAATTAAAGAATATTGAAAAGGAAAATAAAGAGAAAGAAAATACTAACCTGAAAAGAGAAAGTAAGCTTATGTTGTATCTGATTGTTACGTTGGGAGCCTGGGAAGAGAAAAATGGTGTCGTATTAGTGAACCGGTATGCCATGCGCATGGTATACCGGTCGCACGGTATAATTTGTGATATAAACATCGCAAATTATACCCTACGACCGGTATACCATGTGCATGGTATATCAGTCCACTAAACGTCGTCGTTGGATCTGGATTAGTGCAGCGCAGTCCCAACAGATCAAAAAATCTCTTTCGCTTCTTTGAATTGTGAATCGACGACACCCCTCAGCCTTGGAGAGAAAGCTTCGTTAGCTGCTTGATTAAACGGTTAACAACACAAGAGGGGGGTGAATTGTGTGTGTGTGGAACCGTGGCAGTTTTTCGCCAAGTTCTAGTGTCGGGTAAAGGGAATTGCAAAATAGTAAAGTGCACAAGGATTTAACGAGGAAAAATCCCTTGGCTCAAAGGGATTAAAAAACCTTGACCTCCCTCAGAGGAATTTTAACAACTTCACTAAAAAGCCTTTGAATGATTACAAGGGAAACTCTCATAGTCTACCCTTGAGCCACCCCAACTCTATCCTCTCTAGGAAGAGTTATGCTTCTCTACCTTGCGGGTAGAGAGCCTCTCAGCTTTACAACAAAGCTCTCACAACACACATTACCCAACCCGAGGAAGCTACACTTAGCTCGTCCTCAATAACCCAATTACAATATAAGAAGGGAATACGAACTATGTCTAGAACTCCGAGACCAGTTTCAGGTTCCTTGGATTTAGTATACTTCTCGAGTATGTCTCTTAATATTTCTCTAGTCAAGCACACTTTTTTCTCTCCAGCCACTTCGATTATATAGGCAGCCTTAGAATAATTCCGTTGGAGCCTTCTTCTCTTGAATAAATCAATGCTGATTCTTGCTTTGTTATAATTTAAAATTCCTTCCTTCTTGAAGCTTAAGTCAACCGAACCTATATGGACTCACAAAGCAAAGGTCAATTAACGTAGAGGAGCAGGGAAATAATTTATTATCTTACCATAATAAAAGTACAACGGATTATGCAAAGATCTCACTCAAACCATTCAATCAAGGATGTCAATTTAATTTATATGGGAAGCAAATATTTATTCCAAAAAGCATTCCGTCAGCTTTCCATAAAGCAAGATATTAATCATTAATGCTATGGTCAGGAAACCTAGCAAAAATATTCAATTAATATTTTTAGTAGGAAAGCCTTTTATATCAAATCAAAAAGCTACGGTCCACTAATTTAAAGGTAGCAAAAGATCTTTCCATAAACTATATGTGTCACCATGTATGGAAATATTCCCAACTTAAATCACGTAAGATATCATACACATATTCATGCAACCACGTATAAAATTTTGGTAGCAAAAATTAAAGGATAGTTCTGTGTAGTTCTCTATCCTCTGTTCCTGAAGGAACTGTGAGCGGTTCTGTCCGCCGTTCCACCTGCATAGTTAGTCATCAACACAATAATAATGTCCATTTGGATCTGAGCGGTTATGTCCGCCGTTCTACCAGTTCTATGCTTTGTTCCAGAGCACGACTTAAACTCTTTTCCTGCAATCACTTATAACCAAAAGTAACACTAGACGTTTGTCATCAACAAAAAAATACGTTTCAACACTGCTGAAGAATAATGCTCTTTGAATCTAAATCTATAATAGTGCTCTTTGATTTTGTGTGGAAAGAATCAGCGAAGGAAGCTTACTGCTCTTTTATAAAGGAATGGAGTATTTATCTCCATTGTGTTGATCGATGCATATGGAGTATGTTAAGACACGAGGTTCTATCCTAAAATGTCAACCTGATAGGAGGAGTAGCCCATATGTTAATATAGCACTTCATTCATCCAAACTTTTCCGGTGTGGGACATTTAACACCCCTCCTCATGACCAGACACTTCGTCTAGATCGTGTCATCATTCATTTTTTCATTGGTCCGTTGTTTTTTTTTCATCCGACCGTTTTATAATCACGTCATCATTTTTCATAAGAGGCTCCACACTACGGATCGATTTGGCTCTGATACCATGTTAAGACACGGAGTTCCATCCTAAAAACTAAAAAGTCAACCGGGTAGGAGGAGTAGCCCATGTGTTAATATAGCACTTCGTTCATCCAAACATTTCCGGTGTGAGACATTTAACAGAGTAATTGGTTTTGATGCATATGGAGTAATTGGTTTATATGTATATATTAATTAATTCATGGAGTTACATGTCTGTAAAAGCGCTTTACATTTCAATAACTTAAAGTTACATACCCAAGTTACATGCAATTTGTTTCCAAGTTACATTTCAATCAAAGGGGTTTACATTTCAACGAGTTACATGTGAATGAGTGTTATTTACATTTGGATTAACTAGAAGTTACATGTGGAATCACACGAGTTACATTCCATATAATCATGGGAGCATGGTACTCACCATGCACCGGTTGCACGGTATAGGGACTCCATAAACATGGTTTTTGTATATGATACAAATACCAATAAAAAAAGCCTTAAAACTAACTAAATAATTGTAGATGCAAACATGGTTTTTGTAGATGCAAACCCCTCGAATTCGATCAAAATCGACTCAAACAGTGAAAGCGCCTTCATGCTTTTAAAATTTAAACCCACTAAAAACTGGATTTATAACACAGCCTAATCGATTCGAATTGTGTGATTCGATTCTCAATTTTTAAAACCACTAATAACTGAATCTATAAAATCACAAACAAAACTCTCACTCTAATAATACTCTAACCGCCTTACCATTCTTGAAGGTGGCAGTTTAGTTTTGAATTTACGGTATACGTTACTAGTTTATTATTCCCTCTGTCTCATACTCCGTAATGTTTTGCAAAGTCAGCATTTTTTTATTAATCAATAAAAAAATCAAAGCTCTTTATCCATAATTAACTCAATTTTTAATAATTAAAATTTACATATTCAGAAACTACATTAAATTCTATTTAAAGTTGCAAATTCAAATTAGAATATAATTAAAAATTAATATCCTAATTAAGCAAATAAAATGAAACTGTTTGATTAAGAAAGTCAAATTTGCAAATCAATTCGAGAGGAAAGTAGTACTCCCTCCTTTCCAAAATTAACTTCTCATTCACTATTCATTGGTAAACTTAAATCACTCATAATCTTATATGTAGTACTTTATATATCAAATTTTTCTCAAATTAAAATTTTCTTAATCAGGTTTTGTAGTGGTTTTAATATAATTTCTAAATATGCAAATTTTATTTACTAAAAATAATTCGAGTGTGAACAGGGATCAAGTAAAGCGTAGTAAACCAAACTAGAACTTGTTTAAGGGAAAGAGATACTCCCTCCGTCCCAATTTGTTTTGCAAAGTCAACGATTTTTTGTCAACCAATAATAAAAGTCAACCCTCCGTATGGATAATTAATTCAATTTTTAATAATTAAAATTTACATATTCATAAAATACTTTAAAATCTCTTCAAAGTTGTAAACTCCAAATTAGAACATGATTAAAAATTGACATCCAAATTAAGTGAACAAAATGAGATTGTTTGATTAAGAAAAGTCAAATTTGCATCTCTTTTTGGGAGGGAAGTAGTACTACATTAATACTGATGCATTTATTTGATGCTACGGTAACTCTGACTTGTCTTTCAGTTTACTTCGTTTCGCAAGGCTCTGCTTTCTTCTGCCAGTTGATTTGCGGCTTTCTTCTCACCGAAGCTTAGAATACGGAGTATTCCCTCCATCCCATTTTACCTGTTTTCCTTTTTGGGTTGTTCCAAAATAAGTGTCATCTTTCCCCTTTTAGAAAGAAATATGTGGTTCAAAACAATTCACTTTACTATACTCAAACCTCAACCACAACTTTTACCTTTTCAACCACTTTATTAAATATTGTGCCAAAAGCAAAGGAGGAGACACATAAAATGGGATGGAGGTAGTATGAAATATGCCCTTCCTTTCCCTCCAAATAGAACTGAAATGTTTTCAGAACACAATAACAATGTCCCTCAAATCCAACATTCTAAAATTTCACAGGAGACTTGCTTTCTTTGGAGGGTTGAGCAGTTGAAGTCTGAAGGGCAACGGTTCTCGAAGGAGTAGTTAAAAATGGCGGCGAACTCCGTGGAGGAGCTGATGTATTTACATGGGGATTTGGAGCTAGACGTCTTTGAGGCGCGTGGGTTGCCCAACATGGACTTCGCCGCCGAGCGCCTCCGCCTCTGCTTTTCCTGCGGTACTTCTCACAACCCGGAATCCGACACCGACAACGTCGGCGGAGCAAGACCGGCACCGGCGAGTGAGAAAACTCACCGCCGAGGAGTTATAAATACTGATCCGTATGTTACTGTCTCGGCGCCCCAAACCGCACTTGCGCGTACTCGGATCATCCCCAATTCTCAGAATCCGGAGTGGAATGAGCATTTTCACATTCCGCTCGCTCATCCGATGCGGTTTTTGGAGTTTCGGGTCAAGGACGACGACTTATTCGGAGCTCAAATTATAGGGAAAGTGGAAATCCCGGCGAAGGAGATCGCCACGGGCAATACAATCATCCGTTGGTTTCCATTGAATTGTGCCACACGAAAGACTCCCGAACACGAAGCAGCTCTCCGTGTTGGGTTGAAATTCACTCCGTTTGAGTCCAATCCCCTGTACAAGAGTGGGGTTAAAGATGATCCTCAACAGTTAGGTGTGAGCCACACTTATTTCCCTTTGAGAAAAGGATGCGAGGTGAAGCTATATCAGGACGCTCATGTTAGGGGTAATGATCTAAAACAGCCAGATATTGGATTGGAAAGCGGGCTGGTTTATGAGCGGGGTACTTGTTGGGAAGACATTTGTCATGCCATTTCTGAGGCTCACCATCTGGTGTACATTGTGGGATGGTCTGTTTACCACAAGATTAAATTGATAAGAGAGCCTACAAGGGAGTTGCCTGCCGGAGGCGACTTGACTCTTGGTGAATTGCTCAAGTACAAGTCCGAGGAAGGTGTCAGGGTTCTGTTATTAGTTTGGGACGACAAGACTTCACACAACAAGCTCTTCATCAAAACGGTATGGGTTTTACTTTTTCTTACTGTGTGTAACAGTGTAAGTGTGTCATAGAGCTCCACTGATTTGTGTAATGATGTTGTTGAAGGTTTAATGCCTTCTGCACAGAGGAAGAACCATGATCATTTCTAGAATCTGAGGTTGTTTTGAGTCCAATCTTTTTATATGAGATCATATTACCATAAGCATCAAATCCAAATCCATGCCTCGGTTTATGGCATTCAAGTGTTCCTGAATAAGCATTCTTTTTGTGAAATTGGTGAAGGTCTCATCTGAATCCAAAGTTTTGTTTCATGAGTGGTTGTTAATGGTAATGAAGACAAAATATAAAGTACATCGCTTAGGTGATCTATCTAGAGGTTTGAGGTTGAAACTTTATGCAGTATCAGTAATATAATAAGAATGTACTAACTACTAAGTCATTTATATTTAACATGTCGCTACCTTTGCACTAACAGTTTGTGACTAAACCCATCACTTTACATGAAGAAACAATACTAGAAACAATGAAAACTTCCATATTTTTCTTTGCTTTATGGTTTTCTTTATTAACTATATGTATTGTTATTGTCTTTATTGCCTAAGTGGGTGTGCATGTAATCCAATATGTGTTTAAAGTCAAACTGATTTAAAAAATTAAATGAGAAAAATGAAGATTTATCTTGGTGCAGGGTGGGGTGATGGAGTGATCCATGCCATAAGAGTTATCTTACTAGAGTTTATTTAAATTTTTAATTTTTGCATCCAATAAATTCTCAAGTTGGGATTTTGTGCATGTAGGGAGGAGTGATGGGAACCCACGATGAGGACACCAGGAAGTTCTTCAAAAACTCATCTGTGACCTGCGTTCTGTCACCTCGGTATGCCAGTAACAAGCTTAGCTTTCTTAAGCAGCAAGTAAGTTCTCCAATAGTTTACCGGTGTGTATGTATTACTTTGTTTATATAGCTTCCAACATCTCATATAGTCATAAAGATTCCGTTATTTATTTATTTATTTATTTTTATTTTCTCTCTCTTGTAACAAGTCTTCTTTAGGCATCACTAGCTCATGACAATGACATTTTAGAGTTGATGTCACTATCATTATGTGCTTGATGGCAAAACTCTAGTATTTAGTTTAGTGGATCCCAAAATATGATTCTGTCAATTGCAAACGTATAAGACAATTGTTATTGGAAATAAGAGAGAAAAATCATTTCGTTTGATTCAGTTTATTGTTTACATTGATTTTTTAAAATTTTCTTATGGGATTGTTTCTGTTTTAACCCAACTTGACATGCATTCTAATAAATGTGCTTTGTGGTTTATAATGGCTATTGCTTCCAGATTGTTGGAACCGTGTTCACACACCACCAAAAGTGTGTGATTGTGGATACACAGGCTGGTGGTAATAACAGAAAAATTACAGCTTTCTTGGGCGGTCTTGATCTGTGCGATGGTCGCTATGATACACCCGAGCATCGTTTGTCTCATGATCTTGGTACTGCTTTTGAAAATGATATTCATCAGCCTACATTTCCGGTGTGTTTTTTTAGTATTCTTATTTTTCACGTTTGGATGTTCTTTAATTGCCTCATCTGAGTGTTTTTATCACTGAACAAGTCAATGAACCAAAAGAAATGCTTTTCATACCTTCTGAAAAGCAAACACCCTCGATATTTTGTATATCTTTTTTCCTTCCTCATTCAGTTCTGCTTGTCTTTCATCACCACTGTTTTTCACTGTATGCTTGTTTGCTGACATTAGCAAGGGACTAAAGCTCCAAGGGAGCCATGGCATGACTTGCACTGTAGAATTGATGGGCCCGCTGCACATGACGTGCTTATAAACTTTGCTCAGCGCTGGAGAAGAGCCACCCGTTGGAGAGAATTTGCTTGTCTGAAAAAGGGTAAATCTGAATGGAGTGATGATGCCATGATCAAAATTGAACGGATATCATGGATACTCAGCCCAGCAGACTTTCTTTTGGAAAACCGTAGGACTTCCATTCCAGGGGATGATCCTGAGCTCTATGTGATTCGGGATCAATTTAAACAATGGCATGCTCAGGTTGATTATTTCTTCGGATACTTGGCATTTAGTTTGGTTGGACCTTTTACTCCTTTGTAATCTTTATTGTCATGTGTTATATCCTTTCCAGATTTTTCGGTCCATTGATTCAGGATCGGTGAAGGGGTTTCCTATACAAACTGACCTTGCTGTGAAACAGGTGACATACGGACTCACCTTTTTCCTTTATATGTGACTATGTAAGTGTATGCTTGAATTCCGGAAAATGCGAAGGAAGAGAAGAAACAATCAAATATTATAATTTTTTTAAACTTTACATTTATTTTGGATTCCCTTAGTCTTGATGGAAGTTGTCTTCTTATGCTCGGTTTTATCTTTGATTAGATAATTTAAAGATTTTTCATATATTTAGATTCCCATGGTCCATATATTATAGACATAAATGGGCAGTCCGGTGCACGAAGGTACCCCACAAGGCGAGGGTCCGGGGAACACCACACGGGTGTATAAGGGTCCAAAGACTTGAACCTGTGACCTCTCGGTCCTTATATTATAGACATAAGTAAATAAAATATTTTTAAATAATTAACCCAAATTGTTTGAGTTTTATAGCCCCTTTTTTACCATTTCCCTTTCCTTCATATTTTCCCCTATGTTTTTGGTTCCTTTTTTCTTTCTATGGTAATATACGGATTCCATGTAGAACCTATATGATCGGCTAGACATATTTGGAGCTCACTAAGCATGGGGGGTTATTGTGTTAAAGGTGTGATAGGAAAACATTATATTTCCCTTTTGTTCAATTAAAATGCAGAACCTTGTTTGCGGGAAAAAATTGGTGGTAGACAAAAGCATTGAGACAGCATATATCCAGGCAATAAGATCAGCCCAGAAATTCATATATATTGAAAATCAGTATTTTCTTGGGTCATCATATGCTTGGCCATCATACAAAGATGCAGGTCAATATCACATTATATCTCTCTACATAACCCGATCTTTTACCTTTCATTGTAAAGTTGGGTACTTGTTACCATAATATTTAATTAATACTCTAGGAGCTGATCATCTGATTCCAATGGAGTTGGCATTGAAAGTTGTTAGTAAAATTAGGGCAAAAGAGAGATTTTCAGTATATATTGTTGTGCCAATGTGGCCTGAGGGAGACCCCAAGACAGCTACCGTGCAAGAAATACTCTTTTGGCAGGTAACTATATGATTTTGGATTTTCTGCTTCCTTAATTATGATGGGATGTTACTGGCTGTAAGATCATTCCTTGATTTGCTTTGGTTTGTGACAGAACCAAACAGTGCAGATGATGTACCAAGTAATTTCAAAAGAAATTAAGGCCATGCAACTAGATGCACATCCTTTGGACTACCTAAATTTTTATTGTCTTGGCACTCGGGAAAGCATTCTTCCAAGTTTTGCTAGGCCAGCGACTGGCGATAAAGATAAAGTAATTTCCACATTAATTTCGTCCTTTACTTTGATCTTACATACATGTAGATGTATTTCTTATTCCCCAGTTTCTTTGGTGAAATCTAGAGCCAATATACTGAGCTCTGATCTTTAGCCATCATAGGACGTAGCTGGGGAAGTTATCACAACTAAAACGGGCTAAACCGTCGAGCTAACAATAGATGTATACCTATAAAACGGTTCACGGCTAATGTTATAAGGTTTATTGCTAAATGAAATGGCTGAATTTTGTGAAAGAAAAAATCATTTCAAAGAGTCCATTTTAGCCAAATAAGTAACTGAAAAACTACTTATTCTAAGTAATCTCTGTATTCCACTGACAAGCACAATTAACCGATTATCAATGCCAATTAGGTATTAAGATCTTTGGTTCCATACTAAATGATGAACCTAGTCAAGAGGAGACAATTATTGGAATCTGTGGGTTCTTTTTTAATCTTAGTCGATCAAGTTGTTTATTAGAGCTAATAGTCTTCATACCATACCAATATTAAGTCTTAGTCATCTATTCTAAGAAGTTTTAGTTTGATAGGAGAATTAGTGCAAATTTCATATGTGAGTTTGCATCTATTCAAAAATATACCTACCCAAATTTTCTTTATCTGGAATTGACACACCGAAGTACCTAACCCTAGTTATGCTCAGTCGTTTGACCATTGCATAGCCCTCAGAACGTTCACAATAATTTGGTTGAAACCCAACAAGTTGCTTTGACATATTTTTCAGGTTTCAGACTCGCTCAAGTTTATGCGGTTCATGATATACGTGCATGCTAAAGGAATGATAGTGGATGATGAGTATGTCATTTTGGGGTCTGCCAACATAAACCAACGATCCATGGCTGGGTCCAAAGACACCGAGATAGCTATGGGTGCCTATCAGCCATATCATACTTGGGCAGCACGACATCATCATCCATGGGGACAGGTTTAAATTTGTTCAAAGTGTAAAATACTAAGTTACTAACTAGTAACTAGTAGTGATGTCCCTTTTTTTTGTTGATGCCCTTTCTAATTCCTAGACAATATAATAACCGTACTACCTATTAGATATTATATACTATGTACTACATAAGTACGTAATATATATTAGACTCAATTTATGTCTCGTTATTTGGTTATAATTAAGAAAAATGAAACCGATTCACTACATGCCAACCAAATTTAGTCTTTAGAGGATGGAATTACCAAGGGGCTAAATGACTAAATCGGATAATATTATCTCTTTTCAAATTAAATATTATGTTGAGTCACCCAAACTTTGTAAAACATACAAACTCACATATTCGGTATTGGGTTACTCACTCAAGTTGATTTTAGGATGGAGCCTAATGTTTCAACACGTTTTGAATGGTTTGATCTTATTCATACAAATGCTTAATGAGAAAACTTATAATAATATTGTTATCATCAATCATTGTGCTCAGGTTTATGGATACAGAATGTCATTGTGGAAAGAACACCTTGGGATGTTAGAGGAACTTTTTGAAGAACCAGAAAAGCTGGAGTGTGTGAAGAGAGTGAACGAGATTGCTGGAGATAACTGGAAAAAATATACAGAAGAAAGCTTCACCATTCCCTTGCAGGGGCATCTTCTGAAGTATCCTGTCGATGTGGATAAGGATGGGAAAGTAAGTTCACTACATGGGTATGAAGAATTCCCAGATGTGGGGGGAAAGTGATCGGAACCGACAATATATCCATTCCTGATGTCCTAACAACTTGATGTATATAGTAGTTCACCTTCATTTTTTGCATTTCCAGTGGCATTGTAAAGGGCCGTGTATATTACTGTTCAATTCCTAGTTCATAAATTACTTCTATTAGCTTGTTCTAGAAAAATCATTTGTTAGTTGTACATACATTTTATGTCAAAAAATAAAAAAATAAAATATTTCAATCAATATAAGACCACTCTTGGTGTGTAAGGGGTTGATCTATTCTTGACCCGAACTTGATAAAGAAAGGACCATTGGCCCGAATTTTCATTTTTGGGCCAAAATCAATACTAGGAAATGTCAGATCGGTGTGTATGGATTAGGAAAACCATTTTGTTTTTCTATGTGCCCGGACTTTGTTGCAATCTTATATCTCTAGGACGTCATGTTGATGATAGAAAATGTGATATAATTTTTAGTAACCAGATTTGTGTGATACAAGACCCACTTTTGAAGATGCCAATTGGAGTGGGTAGGCAACGAGGGGGGGTCTACTATTTCTATGTGTCTTTATGCTACTGTACTCACCCCCATTATCACTCTTTAAACACTTAATCTTGAGATTTGTTTCATTCTCAACTGCAGCTTTGAACTTCTTAAAAGTGTTAAAGACATCAGATTTATTTTTAAGAAAATAAACCCATACCTTCTGTGTAGAGTCATCAATGAATGTAACATAGTACTGGGAACCTCCAATCGAAGAGACCTTTGTGGGTCCGTAGATATCTGAATGAATCAACTTCAGCCGCTCAGTCTTGGGTTGTTGTCCTGTCTTCACAAAGGTTACCCTCTTTTGTTTGCCAAGAACGTGATCGGGCTAAACTTGCAAGTGTACAAGTGCCGATATAGTAATAAATTCCGGTAAAATACCGAGTCGAATCCACAGGGAAACGTTGTTTAATTTAGTCCGAGAGTAGATGACTTTAAATAAATAAATGAGTAAAGTGCAGGGATTTTGAGTTGTGTGTTGTTGTGAAAACAACAACTTGGTTCTTCCTTTTTCAATTTTCAGGGATATTACTTTAATTAATTTGAGTTTAAGATGAATGATAATAATGGCTAAGGCTTCGGGAATCACTTAAATGCTTTCATAGGGTTGAATATTAGTTCTTTACCAATAATTATGAATACGACGTCGCTAATATATTCTCAACTCCGGTTAAGGCAGCGAGAGCGTGGTTTTCGTTACGTATAAGTCCCGTTACGGCTTACATTCATCTACCGAAAACCCCGTTGAATATCAAGACATCACACCCGTATCATATAATACCGGATATATTTCTATTCTCGGTAATGTATATGTTTATCCTTTAATGTTCATAGTTTAGACTTCAACGTTAATTGCAAGTATAAACTAAATTTAACATACTTCTATGTTGTACACCATAGTCATAAACAATCAAAATGTAAAGGATAAATCACAATTTATTGGTTTAGAACTTTTATCAAACACCTAGTGGGCATAGAAGTTCATCCCTAGCCTTAGCTAAGAACTTAGCCTCTAATGCTCATATTAATTACAAAAGTGTAACTAAGATAAAGGAAATACAATAACATACAAGAAATAATACCTAGAACCAATTGTAGAGGAGAGAAATGGCTTCTTCTCCAACACTTCAAGAGAATGCAAAAATAAAATATAAAAAGTGAATTTTTTGCTCCAAGGATGGAATGATGATCTTGTTTGATGGATTGGGGGCTTTATATAGGCTAAAGATTGACATCTTTTAGTCTATTCGAGCCCAACAATCAAGCATGGAAGATATATTTGATTAGCTCATGAGGAAGATGAGTTTTTTCCATCAATATATCTCAGCACGATCTTTTGTATTTGCAGGATTAGACCTACCCGGCGCCGGCCATCAGGCCTACCCGGCGCCGGGTAAGCTACTGGATTGGCTGGTGCGAAAATCCGACGGGCCGGCGCCGGGTATAGGGTGGGCCGGCGCCGGGTATCTCCCCTTTGTTGATTTGAATAGTTATTGTTCTCCCGATTCCCATAGGAGTTCATATAATTTACCTCTTCAAGTTGTTGAGATAAATCACTTTCCGGGTTCGGTATGCTCTCCACGTTGGCTATTTGTTTGACTCCTCCCAATACGGCTTGTAGAGCCGTTTGGAACTTTTGCTCAATCTTTGATTCCATTTCTTCAAGCCTTTTGTTTATCTCCGTCGTGATAGAGATTTCATAATCCCGACCACTTTGTAATCACCTCCTTGGAGTTGAGGATTCGAAGCAATGGATTCAATGATTCGGAGTGCTTCGGTTTCATTCTTGTTCCCTATATAGCCCTCGGCTCGGTTGTCCACAATGGCTTGACAAGATGCGTTCAAGCCATTGTAGAATGTGTCAATTTGAAGGTCTAGGGGAATGCGGTGATGTGGGCATTCCCTTAGCAATGATTTGAAATGCCGCCATGCATCTTGAAAGAGCTCACCATTTTGTTGTTTGAAATTGAAAATGCGTTGTCTAAGCTCTTGAGTCATGGTGGGCGTGTAGTATTTAGACATGAAGGCATTGTATATACCTTCCCATGTAGTGTAGCTTGCCGGGGCTTGTTCTAGGAACCATCCTCTTGCTGCCCCTTTGAGAGTATAGGGAAAGCATTTGAGCTTGAGATCATCTTCGGCTAGCTTGTTCCTTGGAATCCATTGGATGAACCCATAGAACTCCGTGATAAAGTTCAATGGATTCTCCCCCAATTGACCATGAAACTGAGGCATAGCATTGAAGTAGCTTTGCTTTAGTTCATAGTCCCTCGCATCTTCGCTTAACACAATGCAAGAGGGGGAGGTTGCAACAACGGGCCTCTTCCGTTCGTTAAGTGTGGGCATCATCTTTGTGGCTTTTTGCTCCTTCCGAATGTGTTTGCAAGTTTTTTCTATTTCAAGATCAAGTGGTTCAAGAAATTTAGAACCTCGACTTCTCAAATGCATGCAAACACAAAGGAATATCTACACACACAAAAAAATAAACCCTTCCAAGATCAAGTGAAGTTGTGAAAAATAAATAAATAAAATAAATTCAGGATTTTTGATTGTTTGGACTTTATTAAACAAGACCGTTTCCCCGGCAATGGCGCCAAAAACTTGACCGGGCTAAACTTGCAAGTGTACAAGTGCCGATATAGTAATAAATTCCGGTAAAATACCGGGTCGAATCCACAGGGAAACGTTGTTTAATTTAGTCCGAGAGTAGATGACTTTAAATAAATAAATGAGTAAAGTGCAGGGATTTGAGTTGTGTGTTGTTGTGAAAACAACAACTTGGTTCTTCCTTTTTCAATTTTCAGGGATATTACTTTAATTAATTTGAGTTTAAGATGAATGATCATAATGGCTAAGGCTTCGGGAATCACTTAAATGCTTTCATAGGGTTGAATATTAGTTCTTTACCAATAATTATGAATACGACGTCGCTAATATATTCTCAACTCCGGTTAAGGCAGCGAGAGCGTGGTTTTCGTTACGTATAAGTCCCGTTACGGCTTACATTCATCTACCGAAAACCCCGTTGAATATCAAGACATCACACCCGTATCATATAATACCGGATATATTTCTATTCTCGGTAATATATATGTTTATCCTTTAATGTTCATAGTTTAGACTTCAACATTAATTGCAAGTATTAGGGGTGGGATTTTGGAACCGGGAACCGTAGAACCGATTGGAACCGAACCGTTAACAACATCTAGGAACCGAACCGTTAACAATTAATGCCTCATTTGTAGGAACCGAACCGAAGCAGGTTATAACGGTTCGGTTCCCGGTTCCTATAAAAAATATGTGCATGGAACCGTTAAGGAACCGTTATTAAAAAAAATAAAAAATAAAATAATATTAGTAGTAGTAGTAGTAACAATAATAATAATAATATAATAGCAATAATAACCATTGCCACAACAACAATAATAATAAAAGAATATAAGATACTCCGTATTTAACTAACAGTTCTAATTTAATCAACGGAAAAGAAGTAATAAATATTGTACATGAGGTTGATATAATACATTAAACTCCTTTCTACAAATCAAGTTTTGTTCCATCACATAAATTTTATAAATATAAAATAACCCAAATAACTTGTAGTTGATTGCACATATTTTACTTTACTATTTTCATGATATTTCTAATTACTAGATTTATTATGAATCAATAGAATGTAATAATGTTTTTTTATCTATACATGCAAACTTTATGTCTTTTTTTTTGTGTTTTGAAAGACTTGAAGTAGGCGTCCTATTCTTGCTACTATGATGACGAGTAACCTTCATCGCTCCGACACTACAACGATTTTTAATATTTCATTTATTACATGAAAATTTAAATCACTTTTGTTCTATTAAGTGTTCAAAGTAAATTATTTAAGTTTGAGCTTTGATGTTTGAAGTAATTAGAGCTTCAAATAAAATTTTAATACCCGTGTTTTGAATTTTCGACGTGTTTAAAATTATGTGTTAATTCTTAGATGAGAAAAAATTATTCTAGGAACCGGTAAAAGGAAGAACCGAACCGTTTATTACCGGTTCGGTTCCATAACGGTTCTTGATTTTTTATATAGGAACCGAACCGATTTAATTAGTTAAAACTTTTATAATGGTTCCACTTATTTTGAGTAAGAACCGAACCGGTCCCAGCCCTAGCAAGTATAAACTAAATTTAAGATACTTCTATGTTGTACACCATAGTCATAAACAATCAAAATGTAAAGGATAAATCACAATTTATTGGTTTAGAAGTTTTATCAAACACCTAGTGATGGAGTATATGGCCCAGGAACCCCCGGCCCATAGACTCCTACTTCTCCTACACAAGTCCATTGAGCCCAAGAAACAACTCAGGCCCAAATACAACGGCCCGAGCCTCAAAGTAACTCAGAATACACACTGGGATGCCTTCGGCCTCCTTGGCCGAAGGCTCCAGAACTCACAGGATAGCCTTTTTGGCATAAGAAGCTGCTGGGAGAAAACGGGCGAAAACATGAGCCTTCGGCATTGTTACGCCCTCGGCATCGGAGAAGCCTTCGGCTGAACCAAGCCTTCGGCCACACAAGGGTCCTTGCCACATGGAACCCTCGGTTACATGGAACCCTCGGTTACGTGGAGCCCTCGGCTACACAAGGAGCCTTCGGCCAAACATGTTCAATCATCGAAGATTCCTTTTAGAGACAGCCAACGACCGCATTTAAT